ATTAATGCTAAATATGTCATTGAACTCTCGTAATTAAAAGTTTGGCTCATTTATGTTATTATCGTTAAAGAAAATAATTATTCATGCCATTATCTTAACGGTGGTTTTGCAAAATTATTTTTGACATGTGACCAATTATAATTCGACTACGTCATCAATTTATTAAATAAAATAAATTGAAAAAAATAATTCAATTTTTTTCAGAATTATGATTTTTTAATTAAAAAATTAATGACGTGACTAAATTATAATTGATCACGTGTCAAAAATTATTTTATAAAACCATTATTGAAAATAATGGCATGAGAGTCTTTTCTTTAACGATAATGATATAAATAAGCTAAATTTTTAACTGACGGCATAAATAAGATTTTTCTAAAAATTTAATGGCATATTTTATCTTTTTCCCTTTATTAATAGTAGATAAGTAAAAATTAACGATAGGTGTACGTATCTTTTTGATTGCTTTAGTTGACATCTTCCACTTTTTAGACCTTGTTTTCATTGCCTTTTTAATTAATTAGATGTCAAATACCTGGTGCCGAGTTCTAGAAAAAGATTGCAAAAAGTTGTAGTTTAATTGACTCTTTTTGTTTTTCTATTTTCTTAAATATATATAAATAAAAGAAACATGTAAATTAGGGGTGGGAGTAGAGGCGAAGTTAGAATTTTTAATAAGGAGCTCAAAATCTATAGAAATAGATAGCCGAAGGGGTTCAACATCTACTATATATACCTATAAACTTATTTTAATCATATATAAATAATATAATTTTTCACTGAAACAAATTTGGATGAACCCTTCATACAAGGTAGCTTCGCTCGAACACAAATAAGATAAAAGTTTAAATAATCAATGAGTTACTAATATTTTTCTTATTAGATTTTTTAATATTAATTATATTAATTAAAAAAATAATTAAGCACTCAGTATTTGATGGTGAGGAGGGCAAATCAGTTTATGCTTAAGCTGATAGAAAGAATAATAAGTGAAAGTGAATACTAATTACTTATTTTTCAACATTCAATAATATACATTAATTAATATAAAAATTGTGACGAAATACATATACTGGTCACAGATTCAAATAGTTTATGAAATAGAAAAATGGACAAATAAAAATAAATAAAATAAGTATAAAATATAAAATATAAAATATAAAATATAAATGGAGTAAAGATGAATGAACCAAGCAACAGTTTTCAAACTTAAAACTTTAAAAAATTCATATTCTCATTGAAGCGGTCAAAGGAATAAGCAAGCAGTACAAGAAGACATGTTAATGATATGATGTTTGTTTGTTTCTTTCTTTTATATCAGTTATTAATAATAATAGTAATTTTCTATTTTTGAAATATATTGTGACTTATTGCACCTTTTGCATAG